TTGTAATCTCAACATGATTTTACAACATCCTATCAAAAATGTATTTTCATTTTTAACTCAGGTAATGCAATTATTTAGCTCATTATTTAATTTAAAAAATGACTCTTGCCATTTATGAAGTGATTTAAAATGAACTTTTATAATGCAATCTTGTTCCACTGCCACTTTCTACTTTTAATTCTGAATAATGAAAAATAATCATAGCCGTCTCACAAATTCAACTTACTATGTATTTTCAAGCCTCTCCTCTCAGTGAATAAAGACCAAACCAATGTTCTAATGATTTTCCCAAATGTTTACATTTAAAAAACAAAAGTTAAATTGTATATATATCATCCTGGAGATAAGCCATGCATGAAATTAAAAACAGAAAACTTTTGATGTAAAGTTCAAAGAACTGGTTTTTAGTTCTTCTTCCGCTACTTAGGTTGAAAATCTGTGCTTGAGGAAGTAACTAAAAATTCTGAGTTGCCATTATCTCTGTTAAATTGAAGTGGGATCGCTTCTTAACTCATGGGGATAACATGATGATTTACAAACCAATCAGGGAAAAGAAAACACTAGGCCAACTGTAAATGTTTTTGTGGGGGTTCTAAAATTGAGAGTGAATAAAAATCCAAATACGGATTTTAAAAACTGAGTTTATTATTTAAGTTGGACAAATTTTCAAGCACTTGGCTACTAACTGGCATTCTGGTGATTCAATATCACCCAAATATACCCAAGAAGAAAGAAAGGTCTGGTGGTGTCAAAAAATTAGCAACTGAACACACTGCAGAGCACAGTGTGATTCTGATATATCACCTTGAGTCTGAACTGATTTGATGAAAATTTCCATCATGTAAATTTTATGGGAGAACACTCTTAAGCTCCTTCCTGTGGAGTACCTGGTGGAATACCTGGTGGATTAGAACCACTGACATTTCAGTTAACAGCCTAACAAGCAACACAATACCCCACCAGAGCTCCAGGAGGACAGCCCTTCCCCGACAGATACAGGACTTGGAACATTGGTTTCTGGTTTGATTTTCAGTAATAATTTGACAGATACATGGAAGAAGAGATTAAAGAATTGAAAAAATATTGGTGGATGAGAAAAGAGGAGGAGGAAGAAAATCTAAAGTGGAAATAGTATGAATAAGTATAAATGCGTGCTATTTCTTGCTACTGGCAAAGGGTCCTATCCCAAGATATTTAGAAATGAAAAACTGCCGCTGTCAAGTCTATTCCAACTCGTTATTTTCTGAGGTTATAAACCTTTATAGCTGCAGACTGCCTCATCTTTGTCCTGCGGAACAAGGGTAAATTCAAAGGTTTAACTTTTGGTTAGCAGCCCAATAAGTAAATTATTACGCTCCCAGGGTTCCCTCAGATATTTATAATTAAAACAAACAAGTAAACACGGACAGTAACAGCAAAAGTTTCTATACTTTTCTATGGATCCAAAAGTAAGAATGGCGATATAACTGAATTTCAATGTCACCAATTGTTAGAAAAGACTGGACTAGCCCGTTACCATTTACAATGTTTAAAAACTCTACTATCTTTATAAACTCACACTTGGAAACCTTCAAATGGACACAGATTCATCTGTACATCACACCTTCCAACCAGGAAGCTCTAAAAGTTAAGAGTATATGTTCTATTACAGCACCATCATTTTTCTTCTTGCTCAGAGCTTTTAGCTAGAGTCACCGTTCTGTCCTTAAACATGCTTTGCTGGTGAACTCTTCTCTTATTATTCAGATACAACTTATATACGAATTTGTTCCTCCTACATATTCTCATGCACAGTCACCCCCCAGGTCACGGTCTTTTAACTATACTCTTGCTCCTTTTAAACACCTCTAATTATAATTGTAAACAGATCACTGTTTTTATAGTATGTGCCTTCCTCACTAGTTTGCTGGTTCCACTGGAGTTTTGTCTTGTTCTCTGCTGCGTGTCCACATCCAGTGTTAGGCTCACTGAATACAGAGCCAGAGACTTCAAGTAAAGAGGCTCAGGACTAAATAAAATCCTTGGAAATAAACATTATCAGCAGTATCTAGAGAGACTGTTAATAAAGAAGGAAATGGGGTAAAATTATTTACTTTTTCAAAAGATGACAATTGAGAAGCAGACAGAAAAAGAAGAAATCATGCAAGGTTGAAGTTAAAGACTATTTCCTCTTTTTATTCCATTTATCATAATCTGTCTCAGTTTAACTTTTAATGTTCCTATGCTTAAGAGATAGTGAATTCCCATTTGCTGGTTACATGGTTAAGTACCTTATAATGAATTTTTAATGAATTAAGTTGTCTCAATTGCTATAAAATTTCATGCTATGCATCTAAAAAGATCTAAGGATTTATAATATATTCCATCTGACACACTGGTATTGCTAAATAGTCTTTAAAAGGGGGAGATTTTTCTCTTAGCTTTCATTCTTTTGGCAGAAGCTTTCTATTTTGAGTCACAAGGGAAGCCCACAAAAAGCCCCTTAAATTATAAGCCCACTTGAGACCCCAAGGCACCAAATCTTCACTTTTGACATTTATAAAAAAAATCCCATATAGATTTCACATTATTTACTTGATATACACACGTAGATACCCTGTAAACTTGACAATATGCAAATACAGTAATATTACAACATTCTTTAAAATTTCTGAAAGACAGCCAGTGAAAAAAATGAGTATTTATGACTGACACATAAAATCTGGATGTTAGAAAGTATTTCCAAAATCCACAGTAACCAATTCGATTTACAGATGATAAATGTCAATCCCAGAAATTAGAGGTGCCAGAAAATCCTACATGTAACCCATTAATTGAACCAATTTTACAAACCTGTCTGTTTTGGAAACCAAATTGAAGAAAAACAAACAAACAAAACCCACAATCCTCTGATATGTAAACATTAAATGGAAGATCTCAGCAATACACAGTTATAGTTTTAAGAACAAACTTCTGACAGTCATTTCAGTGAATATAAATTTTTAACATTCCCTCACTCTCGTCCCAAGTGGAGAGCATTTTCCAAGTCACTAACTAGCACTACAAAACCACAATGACCCAGGAGAGTGAACTTCCAATAGAATAAAACTCATCTTTTTAAAAAAATTTCCATTTTCATTGGCATTTGCAAAAGAATTTTTTAAAAAGACTCAAAACAACACATGTATTTCATTTAAACATTTATTTTTAAACTGAGGAAGTATAATTATTCATTCAATATGTGTGTATATAAAAACACTAAGAAAAAATATATACACTAAGCTGGAACTTATATGATTCTCAGGATATTTATCTACTTGGACAGAAACGAACAAGAATTTAAAGGGAAACTCTTTTCAATAAGTTTGAAAACCTATTTCCAGTTTCAGAATGGGATTATTTTTTAATGGAATTCAACAAATATTTGTGCATATTACCATAAATGTATAACTCTGTACAACGTATGGGTGCTACAAAAGTATAAAAACCCTCTGGAGGGTTAACAGTAAATGGGCTGTGACTCATTAGTACATAGCAACAACACACACTTAATGAAAATCCTTTCCTAAGATGTCCGAAATTATAAAGATGGCACAGGATAGGACTGGGTTCAGATCTGCTGTTTACAAGACCACTCTGAGTTATACTAGAGGGCACCTAACAAGAAAAAGAAGAATTTTATACATGACATATACAAACTTGTTATTCATTATTAGTACTATGCAGAAAAAAGGGAGAAAGTTATTCCTCTTTCTCTGTTAGAGCTGCTGGTGGATTCAATCTTCCAGAGAGGCCCTACCACTAGATTAGCAGTGCAACTCCCTGCGGGCTTCCTCCCCTACTTGTAAGGGTACCTAAAGTAGTAGTCACAAGAAAATCCTAATTCCAAATACTTTTTATAAACCTATTAAAAAATACTGCAGCAAACTTCCCTAAGTCAGCTGCTCTCTTAACACGGCAACGAAACCTTACTGTGAAAGAAAATCAAATTATGCAGTGTGTTATGTGAAATTATATGCCACTTTATGCTGGAAAGATAAAGCTCCACTATCCTAGGTTTATAAACACCCACACAATAAATACTGTAAATAAAGAAATGGATTTGTGTTTGGTTAAATGTATGCTCTATTTTATGATTTCCATTCTTTCACACTCACAGGCAGTCACTGATTTGTGTTTACATGCTGAAAACTTGGGAAAAGAGCTATTATAGAAGCATATATGCTTTTTCTTCAAGATAACACTTTCACTATCTTTGTGATTATTACTTAATCATAATCAACATATTTAAAAAACACAACAGAACGAAACATTTTTTTTTTTCCTCCCAAAGAGGTCAGTACAAGTAAATGGGATTGGTTCTTCGAAAGCCATTCCAAAAGCAAATCTGGTAGAAATAAGTACATCTTACCAAATACCAAACCAACAATATTCTTTGCCTCACTTAGCACATGACTCACTACTAATGATACAGCAGAGTGTGACTGAGTTGTTATGTAAGCTCGTTCTAAATGGATTAAGGTCAAGGCTAAACTGAGTAAGACAGCCATGCTTTTTATTCTAACTTATCCTTAGCCTCAATTACAGGTATTTAAGTCTTGTGTATAACATATCTTCCAGACAGCAAAATTTTGAGACAAAAAAGTAAATCTTTTTGAAACTTCAAAATGACACACTCAGTAAGCAGCTTTTCATTGTTTAGAACAGAAAGGATGCTGATATTTTGACACTGTATTACCCATAAGGCAAGATGATTTTGAAGCAACTTGGGAAACAGCCACTCCACTGAATTCTATAAAAATTGCTAGAGGACATACAGTGTGTTGCCGTCATTGATAGGACTATTTTGAATTGGAAGCTCTAAATTTAGTACGAGGCTGAATCTGTAAGGACAAAGTCAATCTCTTTGCAAAGTATACTTTGCCAGCAGCAGTCTTTGAATACATGTCAATCTCGTATCAGCATTCACATTCACTGTAAATGTGGATGACAAGGGGCGAAAAAAACTATCAACCACTCACCATAATGCATGTAACAGTTTCCTTTGGTGGGATCCAGCTCAATAGCCTTCAAGAAGAACTTTTCAGCCTCACTCTTACGACCCTTGAAAAACAGAGAAAATGGATGGTTCAGGTACAAATCATGAAGGAGTCTTCAACTATTCAAACAAAGCAGACTGTGTACTTTGGTAACTGTCCCTGGGGGAAAAATTTGTTTTATCTAAATAAGCATGATAAGGATAATATATTGAGAATCAATATTTTGTCCAGAATCCTGGGAAACATCAAGTTCAGAAGACTAGGAGAAGATATTGATCTCATCAAAGACACAGAAAGGTGACACTAGGGAAGTAAGAAAAAAAATATATGAAAAGGGGAAAAAGTGCTTTCATAGAAATCAAAAGATAGAGGCTATATGGTGACGAGCAGCATTATAATTTTATATTTCATTTTCTCTTTGATGTATGCCACTTCAGTTCTTCTTTCCTATAAGAATAAGGGTCATTTGAGTTTTTGTGATGAACTTAAACATTCATTTAATCCTACCATGGCCCTTTCGGTAATTCTAATACTGGGTATTTGACAAGACTTACGATTTGAAGAGGAAACACTGAATGCAGTAGAATTACTAAAATGAAAGAAGACATGAGGAGAGGCAGTCTGATCCTTTGGTTATCACTCGCTACATGTGGCAAAGAAGATCATCACAGTTTGGTAAAGCTCAAATAGCTATTATTATCCTGGCTGCTCATTCAGGATTCAAAAACAGCTAAGCCGGGATTTACTCTAAAGATAGATCATCTTCTTAGCTATGGTTTTGTGTCAATATTATCATTATTCTTAGAAGAATATAGAAAAGAATAGGGGGAAGATCTGCAAGCAGTAAATTGATTTTTAATGAAATGGTGTCATAATGTAAGCAGCATCTAAAAACTATGCATTTTTCCCAACTCTGCTGTTAACTTGGTTACTGCTTCAGACCCCCAACTGACTCCACAGTAACACAAAGCTGAGGCCTGCAGCAGGGGGAAAAGCCTCTGAGAAGAACGCTCTTGGAGCAGTTCTGTCTTCTTAGCTTACCGGGATTAAGTTGTGTGATGACTACAATTAGCAGCCAGCCCTGAGTGAGGTCCAGGATCATGGCCCGTGGTAAAGAAATGACTTGATCTTCTCAAAATAATTCCAACAACATGTTATATGTCTTCATAAACATATAGACATACACTTAAGCTAACTATTATAGAAAGACATTTTCTAATTTTAGAGGAACAGAATCAGTTTATGAAAGTTCTGGTAGCCTAGTGGGTAAGGAGGTACATTGCCACTCCTAAGGTAGATGGTTCAAATTTAGCAGCTGCTCTACAGAAACATCCTCCCGAGGCATTTACAGCCTCTGAAAACCTGATGAAGGGTCAATTATGAAATCTCTTTCACCCCAACAGCACATAACATCAACAGATGTATTCTAATATTCTACATAACCATGCAATCAACTAATTTCTCTATACCCACAATTATAGTCTTTCATACACACACCCTCCCACTTTTTAATGAATCCTTTATTTCTTCATTATCTAGTTAGGCCCTAGCCTAGAGCTTCTGCCACATTTAGAGAGTGATAACCAAATGATCAGACAACCTTCATTCATATCTTCTTTCATTTTGATTCTACTCTATGCAAGAGATTTATTCAACAAAGATTTTCACCAGTGGACCGACTGGCAGCATCATGATTCAGATGGTGAAGAGACTGAGATTGTTAACAGTTTTAGTTTGCTTGTCTCCACAATCAACACTCTTGACACCAGTAGCCAGGAAATGGAAAGATGAATTGCATTTAAGAAAGCCTGTTGTCAGAAACCTATCCAAAGTACTGGAGAGCAATAATGTCACTCTGGAGACTAAGGTGTGTCTGATCTAGGCCATAGTCTTTGCAATTACTGGTTATGCATTAGAAAGCTGGACAATGACTAGGAATGGTAGAAGAAGAATTGATGCCTTTCAGTTGTGGTGCTGGAGAAGGGTATTGTATATACCATGGACAGCTAAGAGAACAAACAGATTCATCCTAGATGGAGTGAAACCAGGCTGCTCCTTGGAGGCAAGGACTCTGAAGCTTTGTCTGACATACTTTGGACATGTTGCGAGGAGGGACCAGTCCTTGGAGAGGGATGTCTTGCTTGGGAGGGTGGAGGGACAGTGCAAGAGAGGAAGACCCTCAATGAGATGACTGATTCAGTGACTGGGCTAATGGCCATAGGTGTGTCAGAGACAATAAGGTTGGCAGGGTTTAGGGTTGTTGTACAAAGGGTCACTATGAATTGCAGGCAACTCAATGTCATATAAAAACAACAACAATTCAAGAACTCTTCTTTAAATCATATTGTTGTTGTTGTCAAGTGCTGTCAAGTCGTAGGCAAGTCATAGTGACCCTATGAACAAAAGAGCTGGGCACTTGTATAACTTTAATTCTTTCTTCAGGTTCATAGGGTTTCCAGAGGCAAGCCATTTTGGAAGTGGATGCCACTCCTGCTTCCATGCTTGTTTTAATTGGGGAACTCCACCAAACACTGTTCACCATGGGTAGCCATCATTGTATCTGACACATTAGTGTCACAGTGTTTAGCATCACAGCAACCACAAGTTACCTCTGTACAGCAAGTGGAGACATCAGGGCTACACAACCTAGAAGAATGTTTGACCAAAAACAATTAAGAACAGGTCTGTGGGCTGTGGAATTAAAGTCATGCACCTTTGACTTGGTAAATCACATCATAGATCTTGTCAAATACTTAGTACTAAAACATTTTAAGTGTCTTTCAAGAGTTCCCTCAGCAATGTAACTTCAAAGGAAGAAAGGATAGGGTAGATGGAAGGCTTTTTATACATCTCTTGCTTTCATCAAGTTAGTAGGAATTAGCAAAAATCTTAGCAAGTTAGAACTCTAAATAATTTCATGATTACAGTATACTGTATAAGTTAAAGCACAAATTTTAAGTTGGTAGATGTGGTTCCACATTTTGTGCTGTGAGACTCCCAGTCAAGTATTTTACCTCTTAATTGCAAATTATCTCATTAAAATATACATAGATAATAAATGCTGTTCACAAAATTATTGTATTACATGGGAGGATTGTTGTTGTTAGGTGCCATCAAATAGAGCACAACTCATAGTGACCCTATGAACAACAGACCTGAATCCTGTACTACCCTGTGCTAGCTGCACAATTTCTGACATACTTGAGCCTGTTGCTCTAGTCACTGTATCAATCCTTCTCAATGGGGTCTTCCTATCTTTTTTTGACCCTACACTCCTCCAAGCATTATAATCTTTTACAAGGAATAGCCTCTGCTAGCAATATGTCCAAAGCATGAGAGATGGAGCTTTGTCATCCTTGTCCCCAAGGAGAACTCTAGCTGCACCCTTTCCAAGACATACCTGTTAGTTCTTTTGGCACTCTATTCAGTACTCTTCTCCAAAACCAGAACTTAAATATATCAATTCTTCCTTTGTCATCCTTATTCACCATCCAGCTCTCAGATACAGAGTAAGTAACTGAAAACACTATGGCTTGAATTAGGCACATTTTAGTCCTAAAATAGACATTACTGTTAGTTAGCATTTTGGAGAGATTCCTGACAGCTGACTTGACCAAAGAAATGTTTCCTTATCTCCTGTATGCCAGTACCAAGAGTGCTGATTGTGGGTCCAAGCAAGAAGAAATCATTCATTGACTGTTTCAATGCTTTCTCCATCTATCATGAAGTTGCCCACTGGTCGATTGGTAAGGATGTTTGTCTCCTTCATATTAAGATGCAATACAAATTGAAAGCTGTAGTCCTTGATATTCTGCAACAAGTTCTACAGGTCCCCTTCACTTTTAGCAAGCAATGCTATGTCATCGACATAAGATAAATCTTCCTTTGATCCTGATGCCAGAATTTTCTTCATGGAGTCCAATTCTGTGAATTATGTACTCAGAGTACAAAATGAATAGGTATAGAGAAAGGATATACCCCTGATGCACATCCACTCTTAATTTAAACCATACAGTGTTTCCTTACTCACTTCAGCTAACATCTTATTGGTCTAGGTATAAATTTTGCATGAGCATAATTAAGTGTTCTGTAAATCACATTCTTCTCACTGTTAGCCATAATTTGTTGTGATCCACACAATCAAACTCCTTTGCATAATCAGTAAAACCCAGACAGACTTCTTTTTGGTGTTTTCTACTTTCAGCTAAGATCCAATTGGTGATCAATGTGTCATGGCCTCTTCTAAATCCATCTTAAATTTCTGGTAGTTCCCTGTTAATATGCCGTTCCAATCATTTTTGGATGATCTTCTGCAGTATTTTGCTTGCACTGATATTAATGACATAGATTGATAATTTCCACGTTCTGTTAGAACCCCTTTCTTGGGAACGGGAACAAATAAGGATTTCCTCCAGTCGGTTGCCAGTCAACTGTCCTCCAAATTTCCTGGTGATCATGTTCAAGTTTGCATCTTTTTAGTTGAAAAATGTCAATCAATATTCATTTATTCTTAGGGCTTTATTTTTTAAGTAAAATTTCATTTCAATTGTGATTTTAATGAAAATTCACAGAGAAGTTAGATTTTCATTCATTCACTGTTTCACATTTTACCCCTTGCCCTTCCCCCAGTCTACTTTTAATTTTTTTTCTTTTATTTCATTCATTGTTGCATAATTACCTTCATCTTCCCTCCCAGTCCTCTTTACAATGATATATCTGTTACTCTGGCTTGTTGTCGTACGTATAATGCCTAATCATTTATTCATTTTAGATAATTCTTTCTTTCATCTGTTCCAATGCTCCCATGGGGATCTGGAAGGAGAGTAAGATAAGAGTGGATCGATAAAGACCATTGCAAGAGCTTTATTTTTTGTCACTGTCGCCCTTTGCTCATTCTTCTTCCATTGACTGTTACTTATTAGGTGCTTTCTGAGATTGTTCAGTATTGATCAGTGTTTTTGGGTACAATGACTCTGCATATTCCATCTATCTTCTTTTGATGCTTCCTGGATCATAGAAGATTTTGCCCATGGCACCTTTCGGTATTCCAACTCAAGACTAGAA